CGGCCCCATAGGGAGCTCCACCGAAAGTCCCAGTGGCGCAGTTCGCATGGCGGTGCTGCCCGATTTTGCGTCACCCCTCACACGCTTCCTGGCACAATAGGAAGCTCCACATGAGGTCTCAGTGGCGCAGTTCGTTGAATGGGGTGGAAAGCGCGGGAGTGGGGGAAATTCGCTGAGAGTTCTCGAGTGCGTGGAAGGACAAGGCCATCGCGATGTTTTGAAATTGTTGTCGGGAGCTCTTTGGGGCGTTCGCCTTGCGCATGCGCTATCGGACGGTCGCACGTGGGTCGGTGGCTCAGAAGGACAGGACCATCGCGAAATTTTGAAATTGTGTTCTGCGCTCGTTGGGGCGTTCGCTTTGCGCTTGCGTGTTCAGAGGGTCGCACGCTGAGTTTCTTTGTGTTTGGCCGTCTTGGGGCCACTGGTGGCCCCGAACTTCCCGCAACGATGGCGATGAGTTCCAGGACCGCGATGATGATGTTGTTGATGATGACGACGACGACGATGACGACGACGATGATGGTGATGTTGATTATGATGATGATGATGCGGATGATGATGATGAGGATGAGGATGATTGTAAGTGTGATGATCATGATGTTGTTGGTAATTATGATGATGATGCTGATGATGATGATGATCGTAGACTCCGGGAGGACAGGTTCCAGAACGGCCACATGATTGGGCCCTATTGGGACACCATGGCGCGCTGGATGAACATGCGAGCCCAGCGGGACGCGGACTTCCTGAAGAAGCCCCTCATCCTCGCGCAGGCCGCCGACAGGTCTGCCCCGACGATGAGCAGGAAGGACGCCGCCAAGATGATGGACTGTGCCAACCCGAAGAACACCGGTGGCATGCACGGACTGCTCCCGGTGCACGTGGGCATGCGGATCCGGCTCCTGGAAGCGCTGGACCTCAAGAGCGGCCTCGTCAAGGATGCCGAGGGGCAGATCGTGCACATCGTCGTGGACCCTCGAGATCGGGGCGACGTCGACAATGCCGAGAGAGACGGGGAGAAGAGGATCCATCTAAAGCACTTGTCGCTGGGGTTCTGGGTGCGCATGGAGAAGTACGCGAGCGCGCCCTTCGTGGATGACCTCGAGCGCCACGACGACAGCTTCACGGGGGACCTCACGGGCCCGCTGGTGTTCATCGAGCCCCGCACGTCGGAGCCGTTCACCTTCCGCACCTCCAAGGTCACCCGGGCGGGCTTCCCGTTCTCGCACGGCAGGGTCATCACCGCGGTGGCGTGCCAGGGGCGCACCATGCGGGAAGGCGACGGGGCGGGGGAACGGCGCTCCAGGGACGGCCAGACCTCCGGGGCGCGAGCAGTCCGCAGCCATCCTTCGGTCCTGTGGGCGCTCGCCCTGGGCCGTCGGCTGCCCGGCGCACTGCCCCCTCGGCCGACGTCGCCCAGGCGTGATCCTGGACTGCGGCCGCCACGAGGTCGGGAACGGCAAGAAGGAGGACGACGACTGGTGGCTGGAGCTCTACGCGCTGCTCTCGCGCGCCACGCGCCACGAGGACCTCCTGCTCACGCGGGCGCCGCGCGTCGAGTTCTTCCTGGCCGGGCCGCCGGAGGGCTTGCGTAGGCAGCCGGAGCAGTTTGCGGCGCGCACGAAACGGCGCAGGAGGGAGGCGACGGCCCTCGCCAGGGAGCTCGGCTTCACCGAGTTTATCCGCGAGGCCTGACCTGAGGAGCGGCCCGCCCCAGCCGCGCCTTCTTTTGGCTGTCCGACTGCTTGGCCTCGCGCCGCGGGCGACTCGCGCGCGTCGCTGGGACCCTCTCGGGGCGATCAGCGCGCGTCGCGCAAACTCCGCGCTGCGCTCTGCCCAGCGCCTCGCCCGCCCTTCGCTGCCTTTCCAGCGGCCAGAGCGAGGCGCGCTATCAGTTAGCCAGCAAGCGCTATCTGTCCTGCACAGCGGACGAACCGCGCGCGTCACTGTGACCCCTTCGGGGCGACTTGCGCGAGTCGCGAGGGCTCCGCGTTGCGCTGCGCCCGCAGCCTTGGACTTTGGAGTGCGCGGGCAAAGAGGAAGGAACATGAGGAGATGAAGCGGGCGCGATCCTCGGCGGGGCGTGCCGACATGGGCGTCGCGGCGCGCGGGCGCTGCCGTCGGGGTTCCCAGGGAAGCTCCCTGCAGAGGCTACATTCAGTGTCGCGAGTTCACACTCGGGGACATTTACATTAGGCGTCTCCATGCTCGCAGTCATGCAAATAAAATCAATCGCACGCAGACTCATTCATAATCAGACTCACTCGCGCTCAGACTCACCCGCGCTCAAGATTTCATACTCAGGCCGATCGTCTCCCGTTTCGTCTTCCGTTCGTATCGCGTACCCGGCCACACATGTCGGCGCCCCTTCGCACGGTTCGTGGCCCCGTAGGCTCGCCACCGAAGAAGATGTTCACAATAGCGGTACTCACAGCTGCATATGGTTGGGTCCTTCGCCAGGCTATTTTTTCATATTTTCATGTGTTCCATCTTTTTCGGCCCCCCCTGGGGCGGCGGGGAAACCCCGAGGGGCCGAACGAGAGAGCGAGAACATGAGAAACAAAAAAATATATTGAAAAACTTATGTTTTCACATGAAAAAAAGCCGGGTCCGGGATTTAAGACGCCGGACGTTTTGTATGTATTTAAATAGGAAAAAGTAAGGCCCCCTGCGGGGGATTTTCTGGGATACCAGGGGTTCCTTCGGATTGCATGGAATTCCTTTGGATTCTTGTGGAGTCCTAAGGATTCCTAGGATTCCCTGGGATTCCTTAGGGATTCCGAGGATTCCCAAGGGATTCCTACGTTTCCCTTGGATTCCCAAGGGATTCTCCAGGGATTCCCTAGGGATTCTATGGGTTCCCTACGGATCCCCTAGGGATTCAAAGGATTCCGTAGGGATTCTTAGGATTCCTTTGGATTCCCAAAGGGTTCCCCAGGGATTCTCTAGGGATTCTTGGGATTCCTTAGGGATCCCTTAGGGATGACGAGGATTCCCCAGGGATTCCTTTGGGATTCCTTTGTTTCCGTAGGGATTCCCTAGGGATGCCTTAGGGTTGCCTAGGATTCCTTAGGATCCCCTACAGATTCCGAGGATTCCCGAAGGATTCTTAGGATTCCTTTGGTTTCCGTAGAGATTTCCTACGGATTCCCGAGGGATTCGATAAGGATTCCCTCGGGACCCCCTAGGGATTCCGAGGATTCCCTAGGGGTTCCCAGGATTCCCTTCGATCCCGTAGGATTCCTTAGGGATTCTCTAGGGATTCCTAGGATTCCCTAGGGATCCCCTAGGGATTCCGAGGATTCCCTTGGATTCCGTTGAGAGTCCTTAGGGATTCCCCAGGGATTCCTAGGATTCCCTTGAATCCCCTAAGGATTCCGAGAATTCCTCAAGGATTCCCAGGTTCCTTTGGATTTTGTAGGGGCTCCTGAGGGGTTCCCGAGGGATTCCTAGGATTCGATAAGGATCCCCTAGGGATCCCAAGGATTCCCTAGGGATTCCCAGGATTCCTTTCGATCCCGTAAGGATTCCCTAGGGATTCCAAGGATTCCCTAGGATCCCTTTGGGATTCCGATGATTTCCCAGGGATTCCCAGATCTTTTTGATTCCGTAGGGATTCCCTAGGAATTCTTAGGATTCCCTAGGATCCCCTAGGGATGCCGAGGATTCCCCAGGGATTCCCTTGGGATTCCTTGGATTCCGTAGGGATTCCCTAGGGATGCCTTAGGGTTTCGTAGGATTCCCTAGGATCCCCTAGAGATTCCGAGGATTCTTCAAGGATTCCTAGGATTCCTTTGGATTCCGTAGAGATTCCCTAGGGAGTCCCCAGGGATTCCGAGGATTCCCTAGGACCCCCGGATTCCCCCAGGACTCCTTGGGCTTCCCTGGGGATTTCCTGGGGATTCCTAGGATTCTTTTAGGATTTGGGATTCCCATGGGATTCTCAGGATTCCTTCGGGGTTCCTAGGATTTCCTCCGATCCCATTAGGATTCCGAGGATTCCCCAAGGATTCGTAGGAGTCTGTTGGATTCCCCAGGGATTCCCCAGGGTTCCTCTAGGGATTCTCAGGGTTCCTACGATTCCTCCGGATTCCACGGGGATTCCTAGGATCCCCTTTGGATTCGGGATTCCAATGGTATTTCTAAGATTCCTTAAGGATTCCTAGGGTTCCCTAGGGATTCCTGGGATTCGCTAGGATCCCCTGAGTTCGGAGGATTCCCCAGGGATTCTTAGGATTCCATTGGATTCCCTAGGGTTCCCTAGGGATTCCTTTGGGTTGCCGGGGGGATCCTTTGGGATGCGTGGGGCCCAAGATTCAGGGATCGGCCTAGGGCCCTGGGCGAGGAGGAGGAGGAGGAGGAGGAGGAGGAGGAGGAGGAGGAGGAGGAAGACGAGGAGACGAGGATGAGGGGGAGGAGGGGATGAGGAATACGGAGACGAACACGTGCGGAGGATGAGGTGGAGGAGGAACTCTGGAAGTGGAACTCTGTGACGGCTTATCGTCTGCCGAATTGTAGAGATACCACAGGACCCCTTCACCCCTTGGGATTAGCCTGCCGCAGCGCCCGTCGGAAGCGGCCAGCCGCGCGCCTGGCCTCGATCTCTGCACGGAGCTCGGGGGTGATACGCGGCGTGGGAGGTAGAGGGCGGGAGCAGGGAGCAGGGGTACCCAGGCCCAGCCCCATGGCGGCCTCAGCGGCCACCATCTCCTGTGGCCACGCCTCCTGGGGATGCCTGTGTAACCTCTTCGGGGAGGCCTGCGTAGGGAGGGCAAGCTTGGATGAGGACGAGGAGGGGAAGGAGGGGGAGGAGGAGGAGGAGGAGGAGGAGGAGGAGGAGGGAGGCAGGAGGAACGGGGGAAGGAAATGAGCGAGGGAAGGGAAGGAGGAGGGGGCATGAGGGAGGGAAGGAGGGAGGGAGAGAGCTGCGACCGAGTGTTGAGGGCCGCCGAGGGCTTCCGACGGCCGTCTCTTGTGTTCGATGGTGCCGACGGCTTGGGGGGGCGCGAGCGTCTTTTGAGGTCCGCCCCGAGCCTACGGGGATTCGGAGGGCCCCCGATAATCCCGGAACGGCCTCGGATAGCTTCGGATGGTGTCGACGCGGCCTGGGATGGCCTAAAGTAGCCTCGCATAGTTTCCGGTCCACTGTGGAGGCGCCCGACGTGGAAGCGAATGTCACTTGCTACGGTGGTAGGATCTCCGCTTCCGTACGCATTGTTGCTCAAGCCGTCGAGTTTCGCTAGACCCCTGTTTTCCTCGGCGGCGCGCCGAGGGGGCCAGGGGGAAGGGGAGGGCTTCTTAGAAGATAGGGTGCTTCTTAGAAACCCTCGGAGGCTTCTAAGAAACCCTCGGGAGGTTTCGAAGAAGCACCCCGCCTTTTAAGAACCCCCCCTCACTCCCCCTGCCCCCTTCGGCGCGCCGCAAAGTTCCGCAACAATGAAGACACAGGCCCAAAGCCGTAGGGCCGCAGCTGCTGGTGTTGCCCTCGTCGCGCTAGCCAGCAGCCTGCTGCCTGCCAGCGAGGAGCCATGCGGGAGCGCAGATGCGCCGTCCTCTGGCGTCCTGGTGTGCGACCAAGAGACGGGAGGTATCTCGCACGAGAATACCGGAGGAGGGCAAGTTCAGACCGGGGTCTCGGTTGCGTTGTTTTGGGATGCCCTCGCCGCCGCGATTGGGCGCGGCTCAGGGAACTTGCGCGTGAGGGCCCCTGGCGGGGTCCAGGGACCGATTTTGACCGCGTTGTCTGAATTGCCGCTCCTCCGAAAAGATCCCCATTGTCCCGTTTGATTTTGAGGCCGCCGTCCAAGCCAGCCTGGAACAGAAGGCTTTGGAGGATGCAGCACCCCGTGTTATGGAAGAGGAAATGCAGGCTTCTCTGTCCAAGTTCAGTGAGACAGCTGCAATCGATCGCGAAACTCCCAAAGACGGGTCATGCTTGTTCCACGCGCTCAGAGCAGGGGGTCTCTTTTCTCAGAGGGCCCTCGGCGACGTGCGCCTGAGCACTCGAGACCTCCGTAAGATGGCAGTGAACGAAGCCAGCGACCAGCAGGTTGCCATTGCAGCTGCGAGCAACGACCCGTCCATGTCCGTGGCCGACTACAGGGAGGGCATGAGGAATGGGGAGTGGGGCGACAATTTGATGCTAGCGTGCTTGTCGCGGGCTTTCAACAGGGCCATCACTGTCATTTCGAAGGACACAGCTCGCACCTTCTTGCCAGATGGCGAATCCCCTGGCGTTCTGGAGGACGCACCTTGGGTAGCTCATTATTCTGAGGTTCGCTACTTCGGAGTGAGGCGCGGCGGCGAAGACCCCGAGCCAGGCGCAGGCCCGCGGAAGCGGCTGGCAGGGAAGCAGAGGGGGACCTCTTTCGAGGTGCGCCTGCGGCAGGACCGTATCGGGAAGACGCAGATGGCGAGGAGGGCACAGCGACTTGGGGACAACATCATCGCCCTGCCTGCGGCTCGCCCCGCCCTGTTTCGCAACCCCCCTGCGTGCCAGCGTTGCAGCGTGGCAGCAATTATTGCATCGCATGCATCACTGTCCGTGCCGCAGCTGTTCTAGGCTTAGAGAGACGAGCTGCGCTCGCGTCTAGCTGAGAGATTGACTGACCAGCGATCGTTCGCACGACCGCTGGACAAAGGACATCTGTCACGCGATATCTCAACATCACAAGTGAGCATTCAATCACGAGATCAAAGAAAAGATGACGTCAGTTTGGGGACATACAATCATTCAGAAGGATCGGAGAGGAATCTCAGAAATATCCCGAACGTACCCCACGGCGGCTGTTCATTCTCCGAAACTCCCTCACGGGGTCGAGCTCCTCCACGCATCCCCATGGGTGAGGTTGCGGGCCCCCTGTCCCCCTCGTCCCTTCCAGAGACAGCACTATGCCTCCTGCCGCGCCTCGCCGTGCCAGGCCGCGCGGCGGCGGATCTTCAGGAAAGGGGGCAAGAAGAGGCAGCGCGGAGGCAAGAGGAGCGAGGGCGAGGACATGGATGACGAGCAGGCGTGCCAGCACGAGAAGGACGCCCCCGAGATGCCAGAGTGGAAGAACGTGCCGTACACGCGCGACACTCAGTGCAGCCCTGGGCTCGACGCCAGGGGCAGGCGGACGCGCCCAGGGGGCAGGAGCAAGAGATATCGCGGGCAGGGCCTCTGGAGCCTGCTCGTTGGGAAGGACAGCGAGACTCGCCTCTTCGAGTGGTGCGTCAAGAACGGCTTCCTGACGGACCGGAGGAATGAGCCTTGCCCCAAATGCGGTCAGGCGGGAACGTGGGGCCTGGACGCGGGCAGACAGGGAACAGGGTGCTCGTACGTGTGCTCGAGGAGACTCTGTCGGTACAGGGAGTCCGTGACAGAACGGGAGCCGGGATTCTTCTCCCCAAGAGTGCCTCTCTCCAAGCAGATGATGGTGGCGTTCCTCTTCGTGAACCACGGACAGCCCGGGGCCGACGTGCTGGCGAACACCGCTGAGATGGACGAGCACTCGGCGACCGCCCTGATAACAATTGCAGGCAGGTTGCCACGTGGTGGATGATCAAGGCCAACATGGTGTTGCAGGTGCGGATATGAACAGACGCCCCATGTCCTCCTCGGGGATGGGGAGGAGGAGGAGGAGGAGGAGGACGACGGGGCGGGGGAGGAGGGGGAGGCGGAGGAGGAGGGGGAGGAGGACGACGACGCGGAGGAATGCTGTGTTTTCGGGGGGGCGCCTGTCGCCAGCCGTGTGTTGGACTTTCCGCAGGTGGGCGGGCTGGACGAAGACGTGGAGGCGGACGAGGTGAGCTTCCGGTGCGTTCCGACAGAGGAGGACGGAGCCGAAAAGATGGTTTGGGCCAGGTTCGTCGGGGTCGTGCGCAGGGGCGGTTCCTTGTATTACTGGGGCGAGTTGGAGACCAGGAAGACGTGCGCCAAGCAAGGTGGTGGAGGTAAGCTGGGGTCTGCTGAGTGGGAGCACCACGCGTTGCGCAGAGGCTCAGATTGGGGCTACCAGTCGCGACCGCTCCTGCGTCCAGGGTCGGTGCTCCACACAGACGCCGCGTCCACGCACATGCAATGCCACGGGAAGCAAAAGGACACAAGGTATCAACACCTGGGCGTCTGGGCCACACAATGTCGCCACAGCAGAAAGAAAGGCCCCAATGGACAGTGGCTCCCTCGCCAGTTCGCCGTCCGCAAGAAAGTGCAACTTCTCTCGGGGGAGTGGGCATGGCGGGAAGGCGGAACCCAGAAAAAGGATGGCTTTTGGGCATCCATTCGGAGGCGCGTGAGTCGCCGCGCCGTGCCCAGCTACCGGTCCTCCGTGCTCCGCCAGATGGCATACTTCTACCAGTGGCTCTACTGGAGGAGCGCGGACCCGATTGCAGACGCACTCCGAGGTCGCCGCGCTGGCCCCCAGGCCATGGACATGGCGGCGGCCCTGGGTCAGCTTCGCGGCCGGTTGAAGGACGCAGTCGGAGAGCGCGCATTGGCAGATGCAGGAGACGCCTGGTTTGAAGCGGTAGTGGACCAGCGCAACGATTTGATGCCAGATTTTCCTTGCAGGAAGCGGAAGAACGAAAAATGTCCACCCAACAAGAGGAGGACAGGCAAGCAAGGCGAGCAGGCATAGGAGTCGAGTTGCGTAGGGCGCTGAAAAGGCAGACGTCGTGCTACGACGCCCGATGTTGTTGCTGCCGCCTCCTCTACTTGCATTGTTATTACTACTACGAGTACGACTACTACTACTACTACTACTACTACTGCTACTACTACTACTATTTACTATTACTACAACTACTACAACTACCACGGCTACGCCTACTACTACTACTACTACTACTACTACTACTACAACTACTACTGCTACTACTACAACTACCACGGCTACGCCTACTACTACTACTACTACTACTACTACTACTACGACTACCACTACTACTACTACTACTACTACTACTACTACGACGACGACGACTACTACTACTACTACTACAACTACTGCAACTACTACTACTACTACTACTACTACGATTACTACTACTACTACTACTACTACTACTACTACAACTACTACTACTACTACTACTACTACTACTACTACTACTACTACTACTCCCACTACCACTACTACTACTACTACTACTACTACGACTACGACTACGACTAGCACTGCTACTACTACTAAAGAAATCTTTGGATTCCCAGGAAACCTACCAATTCATTGGGAATCCTAGGGCTCCGTACGTAAACACACCTTTCGCGTGCGTAAACCACGCCTTTCGCGCGCGTAAACCACACCACTCGCGCACGTAAACCACGCCTCTCGCTCACGTAAACCACACCACTCGCTTGCGTAATCCACGCCATTCGCGCACGTAAACCACACCACTCGCTTACGTAAGCCGCGCCATTCGCGTATGTAGGCCACGCCGTTCGCTTACGTCGACCACGCCATTCGCGTGCGTGCACCACACCGTTCGGTTACGTCGACCACGCCATTCGCGTGCGTGCACCACGCCATTCGCGTACGTAAACCACACCATTCGCTTACGAAAATAACACCGCTCGCGTACGGAAACCACACCATTCGCTTACGAAAAACACACCATTCGCGCACGAAAACCACACCATTCGCTTACGAAAACCACACCAGCCGTGTGCGTAAGCCACACCGCTCGCTTACGTGAACCACACCGTTCGCGCGCGGAAGCCAGACCATTCGCGTACGTAAACCACACCATTCGCGTACGTAAACCACACCACTCGCTCACGGAAACCACACCACTCGCTCACCGAAACCACGCCACTCGCTCACGGAAGCCACACCATTCAGGTACGTGAACCACACCGCGTGCTCACGGAAACCGCACCATTCGCGTACGTGAACCAAACGACTCGCTCACGGAAACCACACCATTCGGCGAAGTGGAAGACACCAGTCGCGCACGAAAACCACACCAGCCGCGCACGTAAAGCACACCCACGCATGAAACAAAACACGATTTCATAAGAAAAACCATGGTTTTCGGAGTGGCGTCTTGAATCCGGGGTAAAGGAAATGCCATGCTTCCCGCGAAAAAAGGAGCCCTCCAAGCCCCAGGACCACTTGGGGGGCCCTAAGGTGCGCGGGGACACGGAGGGGTTTCGTTTTCTCGCTTGCGCTGTTTACAAGGGTAATGGGTCCGGCGTCTTGAATCCCGGACCCGCCAAAATTTTCACGGCGATGGACCCGACCGCATGCAGTTACGAATACCGCAAAGCAGGTTGAGCGAAGGAGAGGGAACTCTTGAGGGGCCACGAAACGTGTGAGGGGTGTGCCGAAATGGGTGCGGTGCCGCCATGCGAACGCAGCCGCTGGAGCCCTCGGTGGAGCTCCCAATTGGGCCACGAAGCGTGTGAGGGGTGTGCCGAAATTGGCGCGGTGCCGCCATGCGAACGCAGCCACTGGGGCCCTCTGTTGCGCTCCCTATGGGGCCACGAAGCGTGTGAGGGGTGTCCCGAAAAGAGCGCGGCGCCGCCATGCGAACGCAGCCACTGGGGCCCTCGGTGGAGCTCCCTATGGGGCCACGAAGCGTGTGAGGCGTGTGCCGAAATGTGCGCGGTGCCGCCATGCGAACGCAGCCACTGGGGCCTTCGGTGGAGCTCCATATGGGGCCACGAAGCGTGTGAGGGGTGTTCTGAAATGAGCGCGGTGCCGCCATGCGAACGCAGCCATTGGAGCCCTGGGTGGAGCCCCTAGGAGGCCACGAAACGTGTGAGGGGTGTCCCGAAATGGGTGCGGTGCCGCCATGCGAAACGCAAAAGCCGCTGGGGCCCTCGGTGGAGCGCCCTATGTGCCGAAATGGGTGTGGTGCCGCCATGCGAACGCAGCCACGGGGGCCCTCGGTTGAGCTCCCTATGGGGCCACGAAGCGTGTGAGAGGTGTGCCGAAATGGGCGCGGTGCCGCCATGCGAACGCAGCCAGTGGAGCCCTCGGCTGAGCTCTTTATGTGGCCACGAAGCGTGTGAGGGGTGTGCCGAAATGGGTGCGGTGCCGCCGTGCGAACGCAGCCGCGGGGGCCCTCGGTGGAGCTCCCTATGGGGCCACGAAGCGTGTGAGGGGTGTGCCGAAATGGGTGCGGCGCCGCCATGCGAACGCAGCCACTGTGGCCCTCGGTGGAGCTCCCTATGGCGCCACGAAACGTGTGAGGGGTGTGCAGAAATGGGTGCGGTGCCGCCATGCGAACGCAGCCGCTGGGGCCCTCGGTGGAGCTCCCTACGGGGCCATGAAAAGTGTGAGGTGTCCCGAATGGGCGCGGTGCCGCCATGCGAACGCAGCCACTGGGGCCCTCGGTTGAGCTCCCTATGGGGCCACGAAACGTGTGAGGGGTGTGCCGAAATGGGTGCGGAGCCGCCATGCGGACGCAGCCACTGGGGCCCTCGGTGGAGCTCCCTATGGGGCCACGAAACGTGTGAGGGGTGTGCCGAAATGGGTGCGGTGCCGCCATGCCAACGCAGCCACTGCGGCCCTCGGTGGAGCTCCCTATGGGGCCACGAAACGTGTGAGGGGTGTGCCGAAATGGGTGCGGTGCCGCCATGCCAACGCAGCCACTGGGGCCCGCGGTGGAGCTCCCTATGGGGCCACGAAACGTGTGAGGGGTGTGCCGTGATAGGAGGAGGAGGATGGAAGGGGTGAAGGAAGGAAAAAAAAAAAATAATAAAAGGAAGGAAGGAGTGAACGCGGGGCGCTGTCTCTTCAAAATGGTTGGGGATTACAAATTATCCTGGCGATGGACCCAACCGCATGCGGTTGCGAGTGCCGCAAAGCAGGTTGGGCGAATGAAAGGGAGCTCCCTAAGGGGCCACGAAACGTGTGAGAGGTGTGCCGAAATGGGTGCGGTGCCGCCATGCGAACGCAGCCACTGGGGCCTTCGGTGGAGCTCCTTATGGGGCTACGAAACGTGTGAGGGGTGTGCCGAAATGGGCGCGGTGCCGCCATGCGGACGCAGCCACTGGGGCCCTCGGTGGAGCTACCTATGGGGCCACGTAGCGTGTGAGGGGTGTGCCGAAATGGGCGCGGTGCCGCCATGCGAACGCAGCCGCTGGAGCCCTCGGTGGAGCTCCTTATGGGGCCACGAAGCGTGTGAGGGTTGTGCCGAAATGGGCGCGGTGCCGCCATGCGAACGCAGCCACTGGGGCCCTGGGCGGAGCTCCCTATGAGACCACGAAACGTGTGAGGGGTGCCCCGAAATTGGTGCGGTGCCGCAATGCGAACGCAGCCACTGGGGCCTTCGGTGGAACTCCCTATGGGGCCACGAGCCGGGTGAAAGGTGTGCAGAAATGGGCGCGGTGCCGCCGTGCGAACACAGCCATTGGAGCCTTCGGTGGAGCTCCCTATGGGGCCACGAAGCGTGTGAGGGGTGTGCCGAAATGGGTGCGGTGCCGCCATGCGAACGCAGCCGCTGGAGCCCTCGGTGTAGCTCCCTATGGGGCCACGAGGCGTGTGAGGGGTGTGCCGAAATGTGTGCAGTGCCGCCATGCGAACGCAGCCAGTGGGGCCTTCGGTGAAGCTCCCTATGGGGCCACGAAGCGTGTGAGGGGTGTGCCGAAATGAGCGCGGGGGGCGCATGGGAGCGCAGCCACTGGGGCCTTCGGTGGAGCTCCCTATGGGGCCACGAAACGTGTGAGGGGTGTGCCGAAGTGGGCGCGGTGCCGCGCCATGCTAACGCAGCCACTGGGGCCCTCGGTGGAGCTCCCTACGGGGCCACGAAGCGTGTGAGGGGTGTGCCGACATGGGTGCGGTGCCGCCATGCGGACGCAGCCACTGGGGCCCTCGGTGGAGCTCCCTATGGGGCAACGAAACGTGTGAGGGGTGTGCCGAAATGAGCGCGGTGCCGCCATGCCAACGCAGCCACTGGGGCCCTCGGTGGAGCTCCCTATGGGGCCACGAAACGTGTAAAGGGTGTGCCGAAATGGGTGCGGTGCCGCCATGCCAACGCGGCCACTGGGGCCCTCGGTGGAGCTCCCTATGGGGCCACGAAACGTGTGAGGTGTGCCGGTCTGGGTGCTGGTGCCACAGCCGTGCGATAATCGCAGCCATTGGGGCCATTCGGTTGAAACTCCCTAATAGGCCCACGAAGGCGTGCGAGGGGTGTTGCCGAAATGGTTGCGTGCCGCCATGCGAAAACGCAAGCCATGGGCCTTCCGGTTGAGCTCCCTATGGGCCACGAAGCGTTGTGAGGGGTGTGCGTCATGGGTGTCGGTGCGCCTGCGAACGCAGCCGCTGTAGCCCCTCGGTGGAGCTCCCTATGGGGCCACGAAACGTGTGAGGGGTGTGCCGAAATGGGCGCGGTGCCGCCATGCGAACGCAGCCATTGGAGCCCTCGGTGGAGCTCCCTATGGGGCCACGAAACGTGTGAGGGGTGTGCCGAAATGGGTGCGGCGCCGCCATGCCAACGCAGCCACTGGGGCCTTCGGTGGAGCTCACTATGGGGCCACGAAACGTGCGAGGGGTGTGCCGACAATGGGTGCGGCGCCGCCATGCCAACGCAGCCACTGGGGCCTTCGGTGGAGCTCCCGATGGGGCCACGAAACGTGTGAGGGGTGCGCCGAAATGGGTGCGGTGCCGCCATGCGAACGCAGCCACTGGAGCCTTCAGTGGAGCTCCCTA